GCATTTGGGAAGAATCTCTACTCCATTATTGGGGATGGAAGGATAGTTAGCGGATGATTTCTCCTAATATAGCTTAGAAATGTTCAATGTTGCTTTCTTACTTTTTGCATGTATTCTAAAAGGCATTAGGTGGGTGGTAGAAAGAAGGCATAAAATTGGGGACTAGACGACAGGGGCACAAGGCCTCGAAAATATGGCGATTCTTATAAATATTGTCTCCTAAGTCGTCTATAATGTGTATGGAGTATTGTTTTAAATGTTTGAGACTGAGTTGAAATGTATTTTATTTGCACGATAAAATACATGGTATGGAGATACTTAACTAAAGTTTAAAAAGTAAAACCCAAATATATGAACTAAACTATGTCTCAGTTTTCATAATATATATTGCAATATGACGTCATTTGAATTCTGGTCTCAAAAATGAAACAGCTCAGATATTAGGCAACATCTGACAACAAAATTGTAGTTCCGATAGAAATATACTTGACCTTCATGTGATATGTTGTGTATTTGAGGGTTTGAAAGCTCTTGAAGTCTTTCAATTTAGAAGATAAAAAATAATTAGGTGGCTCCTTGTCTGTCTTCTTAACCCCTACAAGGGCATCTAGCTCCCCTGGGCCCTAGGTTTTTGCCTTGGAAGAAATCCGGGCCCATAGTCCACATACTGCCTAGGGCACCTTCTACAACACCACTCTTTAAATGTAGGAGTCATTAACTTGCCACATCCACATACTGCCCATGTATTGGATTTACATTGAAGAATTGCAGAAAAAAGCTGATTTTTTAAGAGTTAGAATATTAGTCTTTTAGGCTGTGTTTGTTCATGGGAAAATATATTCTTCAAAAAGGTTTTCCGGTTTTCCTGTGTTTGCAGTAGGGTGATATTTTCGTGTGATTGACACTGGAAAAAGAACATATACTCCTCGACTCTGATATTTCATGGAAAATGGGTTCCTCTTGAAAATGAGAAAACATGTTTTTGAAATTGTTCGGTTTTTTGTAGCTGTTGGTAGAACAGTATATTATATTAGTATGTAAACAACTTATTTTCTTCATTTTCCCACGAAAAACATATTCTAAAACAAGTGAAACCAATTGGTCCTTAGTTCATATTTACTCCATTGCATGTGGTTGACACTGATTCTTTTCTACCCGCATCATCACACATTGCCAGTACATGAAGTTCTGGGATTGGACGGACCAGAGTACCAGAGTCTATATCATTTTACAATTGGAGGTCCGGTAGTCGACAAGCGCATAATGAGTTTGCCAGCTTACCCAGGTCCTAATGTGGATGTTTGATGCTCATGAGCTCTGTTCTCACTGTACACTGTCTGATCATGTTCACATGCTTTTATCTCGTGGGTAAATGTTGTCTGTAATTTCTCTTATGTTTAAGGTCTTAGATAGACTTGCCATTTGTACTCCCCGATTTGCATGTGTTTTAAAATGTTGTCATATACTATGTATATGTGAATATTAGTGGTAGAGCACCAAGAAATAATACTCATCGTTATATTGGACTTTGTCAACTATATTATTTTACTTATCTTATTTCACAATTCAAGCATGGCAATGTCACATGGGACGGAGGTAGTATGGTTTAGAGTGGCAAAAGATTGCAGTACTGTACATGGTATTCAAGTGGCTGTGTTTATACAATAAATCGTACGAGTAAATGAGCAAGTCAAGTATTGTCTCTCCAAAATCCTGCAGCCAAAATTTGTGATTAGAGGAGTTTACTTAGGAGTATACCATTTAGTACCCCCCCCCCCCCCCCCCCAAGAGCACATAGCTGAAAATTTAGCAACTTAAAATTTCACCGCAGCATTTTAATTTTTAAATGCTTACATACCTCAACAGTCTATCAAAGAAGACGGGCGTTGTTGAAGTTCATTAATTAATAACAATAAGTGGGTTTACTAATCACTATCTCTAATCAATTTATTTCACACATCTATAGTTTTATATACTCCCTTTGTCCGGATGTTCCCGCTTTCCTTTTTGTGGATGTCCCAAAAAGAAGTTCTCTTTCCCTAAATGGAAAGTTATCCTACATCAAAACAGTGTCAAAACAGTAAAATTTACCCCTGATAAGTTTATTTCCTTAATATGTTTGTAGGTCAAACCGGGAACATCCCAACAGGACGGAGGGAGTAGTAAACTTGAGTTAAAAAACAATGATGTGTCAACTTATTGGATAGTGCAAATTCTATTATCATCACAATTAAAACCATTAATTAATTCAATGTCCACCACACTTAAAAATCATGCATTAAGTCCGATTTAGAGAAAGAGTAGGAGAAAAAATCTCTTTTTTTAAAGTGATATAACTTTTATATTTATAATCCAATTTTTACAAAAAATATATATCAAAATTCATAATTTTTTGAGATCTTTCATATGGCACCAATATCATATATATATATATATATATATATATATATAATTATCTATTATTTTATATAATTAATAAACTTAAGTTAAAAAACAATGATGTGTCAGCTTTAGATAGTTAACTTTACATTGTGGGAAGTGCACATTTACACAGTACTTGTGACACATATTAGGAATCCAAACACAAAGCGGGGTTACAAACTGGTGACATATCACTGTGTTATTGATTAACAAAACATCTATTGTCATTATTATGAAAACATTTAATTATTTCCAAACAAAAAGGAGACCTGATAAAAAAAGGAGATGGAAGAGCTATCATGGAAAAGTGAGAAAAAAGGAAAAGGAAAAACGTTAAATAACTAATACTTGACATTATGTAGACTCCACACATTAAATCATTTAATTAGTTCGTACAAAGATGGGACGACTGATGGAAAGTCTACATAAAACATAAAAAACATATCCTTAGAAGCTATTATGTTATTCTTATTCTTATCGTTTACTCCGTATTACTTATTCTTATTTTATTCAGATAAAAAGTCAAATAAGATTAGCCCAAAAAATTCAATCTAGATTAGATTAAATAAAAAAAATTGAGATCAGACTAGAAAAATTCAAATCAGAAAGGTTCAGACATAATTTATTATTTTTACTATTATGATGATTCCAATATAATCTAAATATTTTTGTAGGTTATTATTGTATGTTGCTTCCATTGAAATTAATTATGAATACTGTTATTATTATAGTCATTATTTGTATGTTTTTCAGAAAAAAAATCAGGTTAGATCAGATGAGATCTTACAAATTTCAAATCATAAATATTCATATCTAGAAAATATAACAATTTCTTAATATCAACCATATTAATGGAGTATAATTCTCGGTTTGAATACCATATCAATGCAGATTCCAAAATAATAGTACAACATCAATTTTTTAAATAATGAGACTCTCTAATACATGTAATAGGACTCTAATCATAAAAAATTAATCTTACCCATTTGAGTGAGGCTCTAATTCAAGACCAAATTTTTAAATAATGGAACTTTAGTTCACGTGAAAGGGACTGTAATCGCCCAACACCAATAATACACGTAAATATCCAAAACAATGTAAAATTGTAAGCTCCACATATTCCCAATTCCGATTCAACACTTCTTATAATCATCCTCATCATATGATTAGTCATATAAATAATTAATACTCCCTCCGTCCCGCTATGATTGTCCCATTTTACCTTTTCGGACCGTCCCACTAAGATTGTCTCATACCTTATTTGGTAAAGTTTGTGTGGTTCTAAATCATTCCTACTTTATTCTTACTTTATCAATTCAATATCAACCACATAAACTCACTTTTATTAATAACCGTGCCACCTTCTCTTGTCCCAAACTTAGGGGGACGGAGGTAGTAGCTATTACAATACTAAGCACATAAATCACAATATAACCCCAAATTCATACTCCATGGTGATTCATCACCCATATTCCATGGTGATGGTCAGTTCATACTACATTCGTCCCTCTTTATGTAGCCATATTTGACTTTTCCAAATGATAAACTTTGATCTATTATTTTAACTAATATATTTATGTGAAACTTAATAAATTTATACTTTTATGAGCACGAAGTTTTAACAAAAAACATTTTCATATCATTTTCATATTATCATTACTACCATATATAAATATATAATCGGTCAAAGTTCAACAACATTGACATAGTGTTTCGTTTAATATAAAGCGATAGAGGGAGTAAAAAAATCGACTATAGCCAAAATTTTGATCATATCCTATGAATAACTCACAATGTTTATCAGTATTTGTCACTTCACTCATATCAAATTAACACTACCGGGGCATGTCCCGGGTGTTACACTAGTCCAAAAGTAAAGAACAACAAAAAAAAAGAGTAAAGAACAGCAAATAGATAAATTAGACTCCATATATATAAGTGACGTGGCTGCAGAGAAGACAAGTCTGTATACACCGTACAGTCGGCTGTACGGCTTGCACCATACATCTGGTGACATTTTAGTGATTTAAGTGAAATTTGCGACTTCTGTTACATGTGCACTAATGTACGTTTATTGAGCATCAGTCTCTATTGAATATTGAGAGTCTAATAATGACTATCATGATATCAGGTTTATATTTTTTAATATACTTTCTATTTCTTTTCTTTTTAAAGGGGAATTTTGAGTTCGTACCTCACTTTTTGGGTGATATTGGAAATTGCACGCCATTTTCAAAACTTTTAGACTTTGCGCCCTATCTACAATATTTTGTGAAGAAAAAACCCTGAATGGGGTGCAAAGCCAAAGACATTCCAAGGCAAATAGAGTGCAAAATCTAAGAGTTTTGAAAATGGGGTGCAAAGTCCAATATCACCCCAAAAGTGGGGTGCAAGGTCAAAATATCCCTTTTTTAAAATATCTACAATGAACCCCTATGAATATAATATATGAATTTACTGTAATTTTATACTTTTGAAATATGCATGAATATGGCATTTTAAAATGAGTTACACACCAATATCAAATATTCATATATAAATTACGAAATGAGCATTGAAAAAAATCAAAAGGCTCATTTAAAATGTCTACTATGTTCATAATTTCATTTGTGTATGCTCATATTTGTAAACCTACGTATAACAGAGGTTTCTCCTAACCTACGACCAACATGTGACCAAACTCACCAAACTCGCAAGAAAATAGAAAAAGAAAAAGAGTGCAAAGAAAGAGAGAGGGAGGAGAGGCAACTAGCGCTATACATTGGGCGGAGCCGTCGTCTCTGCTCGAGCCGGAGTTTAAGGTGTTGCGTACGTGCTGGAGGATTGCGAGTGGCGAGTCGTCATATGTGTATGGCAGCGAGTGAAGTGCGAACGAACTGCGAAGATCCGCGATGGAAGCTAGCGATCTGCGATAATTTGCGCAGAGAAGACGCAGCAACTTTTTCAACCACATTAAATAGCCTGGTGCGCTGCATGCATTTCACTTATTATACCAACTTCCATTTTCAATTGTAAGTTTAGTTTTATCCGAGTTGATGAAGAATAGGAATATCAAAGATTCTTTCTGTATATATTCAACCCGTGTCGTGCATATGGTTGAATAAGACCAGAACACAAAAAAGACAACAATGCATTTATTTAGTTAATATTTTGAAGTCACTCTTTGACACTTGAGTTTTATTTGGTCGACTTGTGGACAATACGTTATACATTATTATTATAAGCTGCTAAATCTGCTGTCATTTTAGATACTCTATTCTTCACTCAATCAATTTCACTCTACCACATTTTATTTAAAAAGACACTATTGATTAGCTTTGTCTTCAAAATCTCCTAAATGCATCTGATTCAATGGGAGGTTGGAAGGGGTGTCTTCACATTTAGCAGGAGGGTTGTGAGTGCTGAGAAGGTTTTGATGACTAAGCTAAAAAACAAAGTGAAACTCTGAGTAGTAGTTTCCTTTGTTGGAACTGTCAAGAGCTTGTTATCTTGTTCACAGTTCAAGTGTTGGTGGGTATCATCCATGCCAAGAGGTTGTCTTTTGTCTTCTTACCAGATACTTTTTCCAAATTTCAACACGTGGGGAATCCTATATGACAGTTGGGATGTACGAGATCTTTTGCGGTTGAGTGTGATGGACATAAAGGAGGGTTAGTTTTATTTGGGGGAGAAGGGCTAAGCTAGAGGCCGGTTGCGCTGATTTGGTCCCCAACTTCTTACATTGACGTGTGAAGTAGGCTTAACATGAAGAATTCAATATGCAGTTTACAAGGTTGTTGTTTACGAGGATAGAATAATGGGAGATGATGTAGTTGCTTAGTTCATTTTCTTCGATCATTGTTGTGGTTGGTTATGGGGGCGGGCTTTGATGACTCAAGGAGATAAGAGGGGTAACCTTCCTTATTCTCTATGATTGCTATGTGGCTTATGAAAGGTGGAATGGGCAATGAGGCTGGTTAACTTCACTTTCGATGGTTATGAATCTACAAGAAAAAGTTGAAAGGGAACTCTTGATGGGTATAGGATAAATTTGATTGTGTCTTAGCTTTTAAATGTACACACACACATATACATAATAATACATAAAGTTATTAATTGTAATTCTTCAATTAAAAATACACACACAAATCTATACCTATTGTATAAGTGGTACTGATCGAGATGGTGAGATATCCTAAAACTAATACCCATTTTCTCTATTTATACATACTGATAAATTGTGTGTTGGGACCAGTAGGAAAAACCCAATATTTATCATCATCATCATCATCGTCGTCGTCGTCGTCATCGTCATCATCATCGTCATCATCATCGTCATCGTCATCATCGTCGTCGTTATTATTATTATTATTATTATTATTATTGTTGTTGTTGTTGTTGTTATTATTATTGTTATTATTATTGTTATTATTATTATATTATGAGAAATCTTGATTTTTTTGAAAAGTGAAGATATATTTCACTTTTTAAATTTGTGCACTTTGTTTTACATTGTTTTACATTGTAATACTTGGCGGGTCTAACCGACCTAGATCTGAGACCTTTGGGTCTGGGTCCAAATTTTGAGACCCGCCGGGTGAACGGGTCGGGTCCGGGTTCGTTATTAACTTAGAGGATCCGGGTCTAGAACACTACGTTTTGGATCGGACCCGACCCATTGACTGGCCTCTGGTTATACTATTCAAAGTTCAAGTGTTGGTGTATATCATCCATGCCAAGAGGTTGTCTTTTGTCTTCTTACTGGATACTTTTTCCAAATTTCAACATGTAGAGAGTATTATATGACAGTGGGATGTGCGAGATCTTTTGTTGTTGAGTGTGATGGACACAACAGAGGGTTATATTTATTTTGGGGAGAATGGCTAAGCTAGAGGCCGATTACGTTGATTTGGTCCTCAACTTCTTACATTGACGTGCGGAGTAGGCTTAACATAAACGATTCAGTATGCGGTTTACAAGGTTGTGGTCTAAGAGGAGAGAATAATGGGAGAGGATGTAGTTGCTTAGTTCATTTTCGTCGATCATTGTTGTGGTTCATTATGGGGGGCGGGCTTTAATGACTCAAGGAGATAAGAGGGGTAACCTTCCTTATCCTCAATGGTTGCTATGTGGCTTATGAAAGGTGGAATGGGCAAGGAGGCTTATTAACTTCACTCTTGATGGGTACATGATAAATTTGATTGTATTTTAGCTTTGAAAGGGTGGATTGTATTTTGATTTTTGAATAATATGTTTTCATCAATGCAAGGTAATATGGAATATGTCCTTGAAAATGTTGATAATATAATTACATGTGGTAGAAATAATGGTAACATGTTTTCATCTCATACAGGAAGAGGAGGTGAAGGAGCTTAACTTCTCTATGCATCCGGAAAAGGGGCCGGGTTTGGATGGTATGACTCTCGGCTTCATTCATCATTCTTGGGACGTGGTAGGATGATATGCAGTGATTTTTGGAGGCACGTATTTGAATTAGATAGGTTACCAAGTGGTATTAGTCACACCTGTATTACTTATCCCCAAGGAAGCAATAGAAGCTATGGTGCACTAGTGGCCGATTTCTTATAATACAATGTGATAAACAAGGTGTTTGCAAAGTTGCTTGTAATTGGTTAAAGTTCATGTTGAGTGAACTTTTTCTCATATCGAAACTTCTCTTGTAATGGATTGAGTAGAAAAGTCTGAGATGGATACTTCAACAGTTAAAGCCTTGGCGAAGTTCGCCTACGGATCTTTGAGATTTTTCCTATGGATCCTCTCGACTGTAAGGATTTGAAATGACTCTCCTTAACCTTACACAAAAGAAGTTCAACCGAATATCTAGAATATTTAAGACTCTTCTGATTTTGATGATGCTCCTGTGTAATGTCGAGATAACTTATCTTTTATTTTTTTGCAAAATTGTTCAGTCATATTAAGGAAAAAGAAAACTAATATTACTAATTAAAAAGGTTTGGACAAATATAATACCTCTTTTTAACTTTTCCAAAAAAAAGAGACCAACGTATGATCTATTTAGTAATTTATAGGATCCAAATATCAAATATACCCCTCCTTACTTAATACCTATATGCCCAGTGACATGGTGACCAAACCCCGACAGTGACCAAATTCCGTCTAGTGACACAGTGAATTCTGTCCACGGACCAACTTCCGCACGTTCAATGACCAACGTCCGCCCGTCCAGTTACCAACGTCCACCCGTCCAGTGACCAACGTCCGCCCGTCCAGTGACCGACGTCCGCTCGTCCAGTGACCAACGTCCGCCCGTCCAGTTACCAACGTCCACCCGTCCAGTGACCGACGTCCGCCCGTCCAGTGACCGACGTTTGCCCATCCAATGACCAACAATTACCTGACATGACATTTATAGTTACCCAACCTGTCAATTACAATTACCTGACCCGCCGATTACATTTTCCCGATTGACCAGTTACAAATATCCGAAATTTATCAATTACAATTACACGATCCAATTATTGACCGTAACTCAGTCCGATAATGACCCAGTGGCAGCAACCACCTCCAGCCACCACCACAACCATCTACTGTCGGCGACCACCACCTCCAGCCATTTCCGCAAACCACCACCTCAGGGCATCACCAATGCCCGGAAACAAGCTTCCAATCCCCTACCGCTCCCCAGTAACAGCCATCCTCTCTAGCCCGCCTCCCCTACCCAGCCCCAGCCCGCCTTCCCTACCCAGACCCAACCCACCTTCCCTACCCAGACCCAGCCTGCCTCCCCATACCCAGCCCCATCCCCAGACCCCTGCTCCACCCTTCCCCAGACCCGTCGCTACCCCACCAGCCCATCAATGTCCAGCACACTGCACCACCAACAGCCACATGGAGCCCTAACCACCGCACCCAAAGCTAAAAAATGAAAATCAGGGAAGAGGGAGAAGGTGTAGGCAAAGAAGATAATTCGAAATCGGAGAAGAGGAAGAAGATGTATGCGAAGAAGCCGATTCGAAATCCGATTTTGAGGTTGCTCGTCGCTGGCCGTCGCACGTCATCGTCACTCGCCATAGCTTGCATGAAAAAAAATAGTGGACCCCCTCCAGAAGCTAAACGGGAAGAGATTTCTTATCATTACAAGATGTCACAAAACAACTTGTTTGCGATAACGAAAAATATTCCTATCACTAGTTTAAGAGGAAAAATAGAAAGGTTAAATATCCCCTATACAGAAAAAATCTCGGTAGAAAATATTTGAATTGGAAAAGGATTGATTTTTCTCTTGATAAAAAAAGTAGAAAAAACTTGGTTTTTTAAATGTGAGCCTTTTTTTTTTCAAACCAAATTTTGTTCAAAATTTGCTTTGACTCAATTTTAATCTAATAATTCTAAAAATTAAAAACAAGGAATAATTCTTAACGAGTGCATAGCAAGTGGTCACATTTTTTTCATCTCGAGGGAAAGACCAAAGATCTTGAGCAACCGATCCGGCAGAACAACTCAAAAGATAAAGAAGTATTATTCGCGATATTTCTATCTATTATTTTAGAGATTTATAATTATTCCGTTTTATTGGATGGAATTTCAATGAATTGAAACCTAGTCCCCCCTACTGCCTGTCGTCGCACCCCGTCGCTGGCCGTCGCTGGCCGTCGCTGGCCATCGCACGACACTCCGCCATGGAGATGGTTGGGACGTTCGAGATCGATGGCCTCTGAAGGTGCTTGCTGGAGATTTGAACGGTCGAGCTCTGCTCCATCCATGAGAAGAAAGGCGCTCCAGATCTAAGGAGAATTAGAATGTTAGGGTATTTTAGACAATTCACACTATTTCAGTCACTTTTTTGTCCTACACGAAAAATGGTCTTATTTTTGTCAAATGAAAAGTTGGGAGTCTTAATTTGGTCATTCTTTCAAAGAAGTACCACTAAGAAAAAGAAATAAAAAAAAAGAAGGTACTCAAAAACTAAAAAGATTATTAAAATTATTAGAAGTACTTACGAACGATGAAAAAGAAATAAAAAGAAAGAGTGTTGAAAAAGAAAATTGGAGAGTGGACGTTAACTTGAATAGAAAAGTGAATTTCAAAACACGCACAAGTAGCTCAGTTAGTTGAGCGGTGATAAATTTGGAACAAATTAAAATGTGAGTACTTACAAAGTAGGGTAGTGTCTACTTACAAATGAGTACTTTACACTGCAAAAAAAGTATGGAATCTGTACTGAAAAAAACTTTTTCTTATACCTATATATATAAGCCCATCATTTATCTCACATATTGAAACACAATAATGTGTTAGGTTATGCAAACGTTGTCTCTTTAATGTGAAAATATAGTGCATTTAGTCCTGGTAAACTTTACCATTAAAATTGTCACATAATTTATTAGGAATTGGTAAAAGTATCTTCTCTTAATGGTAAAACGTGTTACAAATACAGTCCATTAATTATGCAACATGTGAAAATAATATCTTCATGTAATAATACTAAAACGAAGTTTGTTCTGTTACATTGGAAGTGTTGGAAGGTGACTTTTCTTATACTCCCTCCGTCCCGAAAACAACTTCCCACTTTCCTTAAATGGATGTCCCAAAATTAACTTCACACTTCAATACTGTCCTTATTTGGCAAATTATCTACATCAAAAAAGTGATAAACAGTGCCAAGCAGTGTTTAAACAGTGCCAAACAGTGTTTAAACAGTGTCAAACAGTGTTTAAACAGTGCAAAACAGTGCATTCTACAGTAAAGTCAAATTTATTTCCTAAAAGTGTGTGAAAGTCCAACCGGGAAGTTGTTTTCGGGACGGAGGGAGTATAAGAATGTAGTGTGACTGTGTGAGAGAATCTAATAATTCTCTTATAATTTATACTTAAAACTGTACAATTCTTTATAATGCCAACAATGCTTAATTGGTGCACACACTTTTTCTATAAGCTATTGATAGTCCTTCGCACAAATGATTTCGGTTTGTCATGTTAGTTTACAAACAAAACATACACAAACAAAATCCAATGTTGCGAGTTAGAACTATTGGTAATTTCTGTGCATAAAAACATGGGTGTGCATGCAAATTTCACAACTATTATGAAAAAGTGCTCAGGTAACTTGCTCTAATAGTGTGATTTAGAGCCCGTTGGATGACTTTGTTTTCGACTTATCATTTTATCAGTCAATTTTTTCATTAAATATGTAACTTTTGACTTCGCGCGCTGAATTATTGTAATAATAAAAACAAGTAAATTTGAAATTACTTTTCTGACTGCATTGACTGAAGTTACTGTAGAGGGCAATCTTAGCTAGTTTTTCATGCAAATGTTTCTTTATTTTATTAATAATAATCATTTTGAATTTTTTTTATATAAATTAATAAAATCACTGAATTCTATTACTTATAATAGATTTACTTAAAATCACTTAATTTATAATTTTATAAATTGTAATAAATTTTATCACAATTTGAGTGTTATCCATTTTGTTTAGATGCACAATTCCGTAAGTTAACATGACAACCCGAGAGCCTATATAGTACACCCGGGTGTACGTACATCCGGTCCAATTATTAAATATGATTGGTGGGCTCCCGCGGTCTCAGCTTAAAAAAAATTAAAACCCCAACGGGATTCGATACCGCGACCCGAAGTAGGATATTCGCCCTTCCAACCATCTCACTGACTTGTCTTGTTGAAATAATCAGTTCATTTATCTTACTTATCCTATATAGTTTCATACTGCGTATTATTATAGTAATTATAATATTAACTATTCTTTTGCTTTTGCTCATTATTACTATATTAAAAGACTAATTCATATTTTTGAAGTATTTATTTGATCTATGAATCATACTATTACTTTATATAAATATGTTTATAATTTTTTTTATATAGTGTTAGTGAGATGAAAATCACGACTTCTGGAGAATGAGTAATAATGAACTTTTAGTGAGCACTAGACCTATTCTGATGAGCATACTGAATACACAAATTGATATTTAAGCGTATTCGAGATTTTAAATGAGCTTTTAAATTTTTTCTATGCTCATTTCGTAAATTTTAAAATGAGCATTACACGAGACAACTTAAATGTCATATCCATGCATATTGGCGTAATGCTCATTTTGAACTTTCTGATACTCATTTCACGTTTTATATATTCACATTTAATATTTGAGCATCAAACATCAGCTATTGAGATGAAATTCACGGATTCTAGTGAATGAGCAATAATAAACGTTTAATGAGCATCATATCCATTCTGTTGAGTATTAGGAGTCTAATATTGAAAATTGTGATCTCCACTTCATAACTTCTAATTCACTTTCTTTTTGTTATTTTTTCTTTTATAAAATCTTATTAAATTATATATATTTATAATCAACTCCTGTGAATTTCAATATGTGAATTAATGTAAAATAGTACTTTAAAAAATGCATCGATATGACATTTAGACAATGAGCATAAGATCTCTACCAGATGAGCATACGTAACATACAAAATGAGTATTAATGAATTTGTTAGTTGCTTTGTTATTTAAAATGAGCATAACAAATGTACTAAATGGACATACATAACTTACTAAATGAGTTCAAGATAACGATTTTAATTGAGCATCACACATCCTCTATTGAGATGAAATTCACGGTTTCTGCTAAATGAGCATTAATGAACTTTTAATGAGCAACAGACCTATTATGTTGAGTATTGTTGAGCAGCATAAATTCTTCTTCATAACTGCTGTTTCACTTTCTTTTTCTTATTTTTTCTTTTATATAATTTTTTAAAATTATATCTATAATAGATTCCTATGAATTCCAATATAC